AGGGAATGATAACTGCCCAAGTAGTACTTCAACTTATGTCTGTCAACAAAGTAAGATCAACGTATACTATTTCGCTCAATGTTTTTTAATGATGTTTGACAAGAATATGTATTTTTTCTACCATCCTATGTTATATTTTTCACCAAGCCGTGTTTGCTACAAACACCAATTCACCCGATCAGCCTGTGTTAGACATATCTTCTGTCAACGAAGGTCGTTGTATAAATTAATTTCATTATTTTTTATTCTGAATTATAATTTTCTTTGTAATATGACTTTTTGCTCTTTGAATATATGTAGATTATTGGGACGTTGGGGATCCCACTTTCATCTGCACGCATTGTGGAGCAAGTATGTGGTATGAAGATAGACTTAAAAAAGACAGAAAGTCATGCACGCCTGAGTTCGGTTTGTGTTGCGGCAATGGAAAAGTTAAACTTCCTTCTTTCAAAATGGCTCCATATACATTGCTTCGACTGCACAATAATGAAGATATAAGGAGCCCTCATTTTTTACGATATATTCGAACGTACAACATGATTTTTGCCTTCACCTCCTTCGGTGCAAAAGTTGATAGATCCGTAAATGAAGGTTCTGGACCTTACTGTTTTCGAGTTGGAGGACAAGTTCATCATTTAATGGGCAGCCTTATTCCGCGTGATAACACGTCTCCAAAATTTGCTCAACTTTATATCAACAATACCGAGAATGAAATTGACAATAGATTGGATTTTCTAAGGCATTGCTCTTTGTTTATTTTCGCATTTTTTGTGCATTGAAGTGTATTATCTGTGTTATTATAGTTAGTTTACTAACGATTACATGTTATTGGTAATGCAGTCCCACAAACAATGAAGAGATCCTAGATCCCGGTATTGTGAGATCTTTAAAGGAAATGCTAGATGAGCACAACAGAATTACGCAATCTTTTCGGTATGCTAGAGACCGTTATAAGGAAGATGACTTCAATGGGGTGAAGTTGAGGCTTATTCGAAAGCGTGGTAGCGATGGAAGAGTTTATAATCCTCCCTCTGCATCTGAAGTTGCTGCTTTCATTGTAGGAGATATAGACAACGTCATGGGTGACAAAGACATCATTGTGGAGACACAAACCGGACTTTTGCAGCGCATTGATGTCAAGCATCCCCTATATCTTGGCTTACAATATCCTTTGTTATTTCCTTATGGAGAGGATGGTTATCGCGATGATGTCCAGCGTGCTTCCATTTCCAGTGGTAGGACAAACCCAAGATCAACGATTAGCATGAAAGAATTCTTTTCGTTTAGGCTTCAAATGATATCAGGGGAGTCCCAAATTCTTCTTCACTCCAGAAAACTATTCCAGCAATTCCTGGTTGATGCTTATACTATGGTTGAGTATGACCGTCTTATTTTCATTCGCCATAATCAAAATCAACTAAGGGTAGAGTTGTACAAAAATATAATACATGCATCGGATAAAGGGGAGGATGCGGCTGTTAAAACTAGAAAGCATATTATTCTTCCTTCTTCATTCACAGGCGGACCTAGATATATGGCTGAGAATTGTAAGGATGCTTTTGCAATCTGCCGTTGGGCTGGATATCCTCATCTTTTTATAACAATTACCTGCAATTCTAAGTGGTTAGAAATTACACGGTTTCTTAGGGCCAGGAACTTAAACGCTGAAGATCGACCTGATATTCTTTGCAGAGTTTTCAAGTTCAAGTTAGACCAATTGCTCCATGATTTAAAAAAGAACATGTTCTTGGCAGAGTTAATGCATGTAAATATATGGGCAAAATCAATTTTTACAACTTTACTGGAACCCACAAATGCTCTATATGTATTATTGTCTTCTAATCCAGCCTTTGATCGTTTATTGAACTGTAACAGATGTTTGTATAATTGAATTTCAAAAACGTGGACTCCCTCATGCTGTTGTTCTTGCACCCTTCTAACAAGCCCAACAGTGGACTTGATATTGATAGATTGATTTCAGCAGAGATTCCTAACAAGGAAACCCATCCTTCTCTCTTTCTTACTGTCACAAGTTACATGATGCATGGTCCCTGTGGTGCTAACAATTACAAGTCACCTTGCATGAAGGAGGGAAAGTGTACAAAGAAATTTCCAAAGGGTTTTTGTTCTCGTACGATTATTGATGATGACAGATTCCCTCATTATAAGAGAAGAGATAATGGGAGGGTTGCGAAGAAAAATGGTGTTGAACTTGATAATCGTTTTGTTGTGCCTTATAATGCAAAACTCCTTTTAAAGTACCAGGCTCATATTAATGTGGAATATACCTGTCAGACCAGTGCTATTAAATATCTTTTTAAATACATTTATAAAGGAAATGATAGAGTTACTGCTGCTATACATCATTCAGATGATGAAATTAAAATGTTTTATGATTGTAGGTACTGAAATTAATCTCCATTAGCTTTTGAATTACTGTGCATGTATTACTTTTTATACTAGACTCCATTTAACATAATTATTTATTTATGATAGGTATGTATCCGCATGTGAAGCTGCTTGGAGAATATTTGGATTTGAAATTCATTACAGAAACCCCCCTGTGATGAGATTGCCATTTCACTTACCCAATGAAAAGACCGTTGTTTTTCATGATACTGCATCAATATCCGAAGTAAAGACAAGGGAGGAGTTTAGACAATCAATTTTTGAGAGTTGGATGGATGCAAATAAAAAATTTCTAGAAGGTAGGCATCTTACTTATGCTGAATATCCAACTCATTTTGTTTATAATGTAAATAGTCAAGAATGGCATCCTAGAAAAAAAAGGATTCTCAATTGGAAGAATAAATCGTTTTTCTGCAAATAGTGGAGAAGATTCCTATCTTCGAGTGCTTCTTAATTTTAAAAAGGGTTGCACAAGTTACGAGGACCTGAGAACTATCAATGGGGTGATGTTTCCAACATTTAAAAATGCTTGCTATTCTCTTGGACTTTTGGATGATGACAATGAATACATTGATGCAATTAAGGAGGCAAGTTCTTGGCAGTCAGCTTCTTATCTTAGACGTCTTTTTGCTCTGTTGTTGTTCGGTAACTCAATGAATAGACCTGAAAATGTTTGGGGGAAGTGTTGGCAATTTCACTTTGACGATGTTCTTTATCGACATAGAACAACAGTAGGACATCCAGGTATTCATTATGAACATATCGTATGGATTATAATTTTTTTTATCATTATTTTTTTCTGTTGAATATACCGCTTTTGTGGTAAAAATAATGTACCATGAGTCCTGTTAGAATTGTACTTTCAATTGTCATTTTTTCATTGTTTTCCATGTTTCTACAGATGCAAATCTTACTGAAGAACAAATAAAAAACACAACACTTGCTGAAATTGATAAAGTGCTACAGAGTAATGGAAAATGCCTTTTTGATTACCCTTCAATGCCTTGCATCACTGGTGCATCTTTGCTTGATATGCACAATCTCTTAGTGCTTGATGAATTACTGTATGACAGATTGTTTTTGGTTGAAGAACATAAAAGACTAATGAGTTCCCTTACAGATGAGCAAAAAGTTGTCTATGACAAGATAATTTCAGCAGTTTCAGTGGGTACAGGTGGATTCTTTTTCTATACGGCTTTGGTGGTACAGGAAAAACATTTATTTGGAATGCATCCATTAGATCAAAAGGCGAAATTATACTTAATGTTGCTTCTAGCGGGATTGCATCACTTTTGCTTCCTGGAGGCCGGACAACACACTCTAGATTTCGTATTCCAATTCAGATCACTGAGGCTTCAACCTGTAATATACGGAAGGATTCTAATATTGCCGAATTGCTGGCGAAAACAAAGCTAATCATCTGGGATGAAGCTCCAATGGTACACGGATTTTTCTTTAAGGCTCTAGACAAAACACTTAGAGATGTTCTTAGATTTTCTGATTCAACTTGTGTTGATAAATCATTTGGTGGGAAAGTTGTTGTTCTTGGGGGTGACTTCAGGCAAATCTTACCTGTTGCTCCTCATGGAAGCAGACTAGATATAGTCCATGCAACCATTAATTCTTCTTGTCTTTGGTCTCATTGTCATTTATTAACTTTGACCAAGAACATGCGGCTTAGTTCTGGAAGTGACATTCACAATTTAATGGAAATAAAGGAATTTTCTGATTGGCTTCTTAAAGTCAGGGATGGTGTTCTTGGAGATGATGTGGATGGAGAATCTATTATAACAATTCCAGATGAATTATTGATTAAAAAATCACTGAATCCACTTTCAGATTTGATGGATTTTGTGTACCCTGATATCTTGGATCATATTTTAGAACCCACATTCTTTAAAAAACGTGCCATTCTGACTCCAAAATTGGCATATGTTTCTATTTTAAATGAGAACTTAATGTCTTTGATTCCAGGTGACGAAAGAATATATTTAAGTTCAGATAATATTTTGAAGCAAGACGGTAATTCTTCCCTTGAGGATGATGATTCTCACCTGAGATCTTAAATACCTTCTCCTGTTCTGGGCTTCCGGATCATAAATTAATTTTGAAGGTCAAAGTTCCAGTCATGCTATTAAGAAATATTGACCAATCAAGAGATTTATGCAATGGAACAAGATTGCTTATTACAAGATTAGGCAATCATGTGGTTGAGGCAACTGTTCTTACAGGAAGCAATATAGGAGAAAATGTGTTAATCCCTAGAATGACAATGAGCTCCTCAAGTCATTCTTTTCTTGTAAATTTCCAAAGAAGACAATTTCTCATCGTCGTTTCGTTTGCCATGATAATCAATAAGAGTCAAGGACAATCGCTTTCTCATGTTGGAATTTATCCACCCAGGTCAGTCTTTAGTCATGGGCAATTATATGTGGCACTATCCCAAGTAAAGAGCAAAAAGGGATTGAAGATTTTGATAGTTGATGATGATGGTTGTGTAACAAACAGTATCTTTAACATAGTCTACAAAGAAGTATTTCAGAGATTACTGTAATTTATATTGCTTCAGTCGATTGGATATAACGTTGCTCTTTGGTACAGGTAAAATCTGCATTCCTTAGGTTATATTTTTTTCAAATGTTGATTAGCGTTGGATTTTGATTTTTTTTATACTGTATTTTTGAAATATGATTCTGAAATTCAAAAGCAAAAAACCACATTGAATAATACTTCTGACAATTACCTATTCAGTTCTTCTGTTCTTTATCCGCTAAATCATATGTTATGCTAACATATACTGTTTTTATTTCTTTTATAGTTAGCAGGCTGATGTCAGAGATATTTTGCTTTGCTGGAACACCAAATTGTATCATGTTATTTGTGAATTATTAATTGTGAGCAGTTTTGACATTATGACATTTAAATTGTTTTTACATTGACATTATTTTATTTATCACTTTTGCAATTGGACGTGAAGGTTACTCGATACAATTAAACGTTTCATCCTACAAAATTTTATTTTACTTTTTTATCTTTCTGAATGCTACAGCCTTTTCAAGTTAAAAATTATAACAATACAATTATTTTTTATTATGATATTATTATTAAGAGTTTCATATCAAGATCAACGTGTGGATTTACCAGTAAGAAAACACACCAACGACGGCGACAACGATTTTGTTCTTTTTCCCCCGGGCATCACACGGGTAATTCACTAGTTATATCTAAAATGTTATTTTTTTTTAATTGAGGATAAAAATAATGCAATAAGTATGTATTTTAATTCATCGTCAACATACAATTATTTGATTTGTGAATAAACAAAGAGTTTTTTTTTGAAAATATTCCAATCGGTTCATTGCTTCGCAACTAATTCAATTTTGGACGAGTTCAGGATTAAGACTTTAAACTCCTTTCAATTCAAAGGTAGTACTGAGAAGATTTGAACACATGCTCTCACCTCAGAATAAACATAGAGTTGCGCAAATTAATCACTGCATAGTTTTTTCTTCGCGGTTTTAAATTAGTATATGTTAAACGACGGAAAAGTATCTCGTGAAAACATGGAAAAGTAATTTTCTTCCTACTTTAATCTTCTTCTCTCTTTTTTTGGTACATTACTTTATTCTTCTTAACCTATAACTCAAGTAGTTACAGTATGCAATGATTCTTGTTAGGAACGTGATATACTCAGGGTGAATTCAGTGTTATAAAAATATTTACAATTTTTTTTCACGAAATAATTATAATTTTTGCAAACTTTGATGTATAAAAATATCATTTAAGATGGTAAACAGCTTATGATACATTAATGATCACAATTATACAAATAATTCTGGTACAGATAGATATTAAAGAATTAATTAAGGTGCTATAATTTAAAGATTACGGGAAGAGAAAATTGTTTTATCAATTCCATTTCGTCTACAAATCACTTGTCACCTACATTCAATCTTAGAGCTTTTCACCCCAAATGTATTCACTATTTGTCAAGTTTTAATAGGTACTTAAATGAACCACTACAACCTCCAAATTTTCAATTAAATATAAATCTTACCATCTTCATTAAGCTTGTGGGTGTTTAACAACTATACACCAATTTCGGTGTTACTAACCTCAATCATGAGATTATAGTGTAGAAGCGTTTAGAAAATTAATTTACACCCTCAAAGTGTAAATGTATAACTTGAACCAATATGAGTATATAAAATTTGAGCTTTATGTTTATTATGTTACGGGAAAAAGAAAGTCCCTCATGTTACACATAACGACACCGTTTTACTCTTTTTATAGAATCCCTTTATTTTTCCTTTCTTCTTCCTACGGAAGACGAACTCACATTCACCACTATTTCGCTCCACCATGGTCGCGCTCTACAACCACCGCTCCACCACCAAAATCCCAATGTAAGTTCATCACTGAATCTTATTTTTCTATTGGGTGTCTTGCATTAAAAGAGTTGAGGATGAAATAAACTTATTTTCTTAGGTTTTATGAAGCACAACCTCTAGATTCAGGAACTCATTTTGTGGTTAGTATCACCATTACCATTTTGTATTTGGCTTTCCAACTCTCATCAGAATTATACCTTGTGTACTCTTTTTTAGGCACTTTGCATGCTTAAATAAAAATTATATACCAGCTTCGATATGCTGAGCCTTCCTTGAGCACTTTACTCTTTCAACATTAAATATGTGTTTAAACTTGTCAACACTCCTTTAGCTGCTCATTTTAGATTGAGACCAATGCATGGTGATGAAGCTGGTTACATGCATAAGGTGCCATATTCTAATGCTATAGGAAGTCTTATGTATGCTATGCTAAGCACTAGACCTGATATTGCTTATAGTGTTAGTGTCGTGAGTAGATTCATGTCTAATCCAAATAAGGAACATTGAAGTGTAGTAAAATAGATATTTAGGTATCTAAATAGATGCTGCAATAACTGTTTGAATTTTACTGCTAGTGAATCTAATGAATTTTCTTTTAAGGGATAATTTGATGCAGATCTTGATAAGAGGAGATCTCTAACGGGGTATGTGTTCACGGTGGGTGAAAATATGGTTAGCTGGAAGTCTAACCTCCAACACGTGGTAGCACTCTCCACCACTGAATATGTATACATGGCCTTAATAGAAGCCATTAAGGAAGCCTTGTGGCTTAAGGGTATAGTTTCTAACTGGGACTAGGAGAAGGTATTCCAAAGGTATATTGTTACTCACAAAGTGATATACACTTATCCAAAAATAATGCCTTTCACGAAAGGACAAAACACATAGATATTAGGTTGCACTTTATTAGAGAAATTATCTCTAATAAGCAGGTGGAGGTGGAGAAGATCTCAACTCTTGTGTTGTTAGGGTCTCTTTTCAAGAAATCCATCTCTGATTTCTAACCCTTGTTCTTGCATGATCTTTGGTTCCTGGTTGTTTTGGAAGGTATTTTCTTATGATTTAAGGTGGAGGCAGCTTACAGGAAAGAGTGGTGGTTGGTGATAGCTTGGATACTACTTTTGTTCGAGGCATCTCATTTTCTTGGAGCTATCACGGGTTTGGCCATCAACCGGTGTTGTTTTGGTGTGCGCTTTCTTTGGTGTAGCTGTGTTGTTCTTACATGTATCTGTTGATCTTGAACTAGGTTTGAGGGTTAGGGTTCTGTCATTTGCGGCTTCTTTGGTTGAGTTGCAATTGGTTGTTTCTTGACTAGTTGTGTATACTGTTTGAACTCTTATTCTATTATAGTGCAAGTGCCAGAGAGTTTAATCCCTGATTCATCTTTGATGTAGAAACTTGGTAACACAAGTTTCTGAACAAGTAAAAATCGTGTGCGTCTCTTTTTCTTCTTCTCAATCTTTTAATTTCTGCATGTTATATTATACAACAAGAAGTTTAATATATGATTAGGAGTAAAGAAAAAGTAAGTAGATAGGTAGTATATGATAAGGCCTCTTCTCTTTAGTAGCCTAAAGTAATATATATATATATATATATATATATATATATATATAATGTATATGCTTAATTTGATATTAATGTATTAAAAACTATCTTTTTGTATATTTTAAATATATCATATCATGAGCTTTCTTTTCCCTCTCTATTAAGTGGAAAATAATAAAACTGACGGATTTAGAACTTGCAACACAGATGTAAATAAAATAAAAAATGTATTCTTATTTGGTCAAAAATTAGGGGAAGGGGAGGGCTCAAATGGTTGTTGGTGATGCATAATACGTACTAATCATTGGCAAGATCGACGTTATATTTATGACTCCCTTATTATTAGAACAAATTATTCTTCTTTATCATTGACTCTTTAGTAGGGGTGTAAATGGCAGCTTGGCCTGACCTACAAACTGACCTGACCTTTTTGAAAATTAATTTAGGTTTAGGCTTGTGGAAAAGACTATTTAACAAATAGGCTATAGGCCAATTGTGAAAAGTTTGGCCTACAAGAAAGTAGGCTGGCCTATTAAATTTTTTAAATAAAATAATATATTTATCTTAACTATTATTTATTTATCCTAAGTCCCAACTCCCAACCCTAGTTCCTTATCTTGTGCACCACTTCTCAATTCTCACTCTCTTCTCTCACCGTCGTTTTTGTTCTTTGCGCCGCTTCTCAGTTCTCACCCTAATTCCTTCCCTAGAGCACCAACTTGTTCGTTGGAAATTCTAGATAGAAAGAAGAGAATTTTAGGCCATGTTCTCACCCTAATTTATGGTTTCATATGGGCTTATTGGTTTCATATTGTTCTTATCAATATATCATAATTGGTAGGCCTTGAAGGTCTATAGGCCATGTTAGGCTTTTTATTTTTAACAGTAGACTAAGCCTGGCCTATAAACCAAAACTTTAATAAGCTAATAGGCCAAATAGGCTCAACATATATTTTGCGTAGGCCTAGGCCATGAAGGCCAAAGTCTGGCCTAGCATAGTCCATTTACACCCCTACTCTTTAGGATATAAATATGAAAATGATTCCTACTAAAAATTATATATAGAAATGATATTGCTTACACAAATCTCTCGAAGACCGATCTAAGGTAGATGGTAATGTCTTACT